GAGATCTCATCAATCTCACTCTTGCAAATGCCCACACTGACTTCTCAGGCTGGGCCTTGACTTTGAACCCAGTTCTTATCGAGTTATATGTTAGACCCATGCCTCTTTAATGTCAGCTTCCCACTGAATCCTGATTGCCTCTCCCAGCATCTTCATCAATAGAGTTAGTGACGTCTCACTCTTTCTTGTTCTTGGAACATAAGTTGGCATCATCCTTGATCCCCCTCCCATCATATGGACCAGCAGCAATTATTTGTGAAGAAGATATGCATCTAGAGCCCAGCCAACCACTTCTCCTCACCCTTTGCTTTCGTCCTGGTCCATTCCACCACCACATCTTGAAACAGCCGCTGGACTTCTGAACTGACTTACTCCCATGTTTGCCCAAGTACAGACATTTCCTGACTCGTGATGGGGCCATGTTGATAAATAGGTCCTAAGTTGAATATACCAGGAGTGAAAAATGCCTAAATCTAGCCACCCATCTACACATCCCAGTTTAGCACTCTAGCACACTGTGGAGTGTCTAGTTTCCTTAGTGATCTCAGGGCTGACTGGAAGCTACAGTTGCTGCTGCCGCCCAGCATCTTGAGATGTGATGTTTTGTGTGTGTGTGTGTGTGTGTGTGTGTGTGTGTGTGTGTTTTGCAGGGTCTTGCTGTAGCCCAGAATGGCTTTAAACTTAAAATCCACTTGACTCAGCTTCCTGAGTACTGGTATGCACTACCATTTCCAGCTCCAGGCATTTCCTTTTAAACTTTTAAAACAAGTCAGTTCATGTCTGTGATCTAAAACTTTTCATTGGCTACCCGTTACACCCAGATTAAACCTTAAATCCTTCGTGGTCTCTGAGAAACTGTGTATGCAATGAGGTCATCCCTCTGTCCTCCTTTCTCTGACCTCATCCTTTGTCACCCTTTCCTACCACCTCAATGCTAGTGGCGCTGCCCTGTTGCCCTGGACCTGCAAATGCACTCCAGCTCTGCCAGGGACACCTCTTCTGGACACCTTCTCTCACCTCCTGGCAATTCCCTGGTGAGATAGTCCCTGGTGATGCTTTCAGATTTCCCCTGTCTCCCAGTCCCCATTTCCTGCTCAAGACCCTTCTTCCTGCTATTTCCTCTTTCTCAGCACTTCCGTTAGGTGGCTGTCCACGCCCACTGTAAACGCTATCTGATCTGCAGCTGGAGTGGTGCCTGACACACAGCTGGCCCTCTGTGTTGCTCTTGTTTTAACCCCATAGGAAGTGCCACTGACCTTTATCTGTAGTTTGTCACTAGCATATGTCAGCTTTTTTTGTTGACAACGGGCACTTATCAAGCTCTACAATGTGCCAAGATTACAAAGGTTTCTAGCATGTGGAGTTCATCCTGTCAAACAAGCACAAAGCCATACTGCTGATCGGCACTGCTTTCCCTGCTTTCCTGCACAAAAACAGAAATTTTATCTGCATGCTGAGATACACCAGAAAAATCTGGGATTACCACCTAGTGAACCTCTCAGGCTTTGGGGTTAAGATGGAAGCATGGTCTTACTTGGACTTGTCATTTGCTCGTAGGCACACTCAGCCTCTCCCATGCACATAGGAGATAGTCCAACAGTGGAGCTTGCTTAGAAAAAGTCCTTGGGGGAGACTATCCTCACACTTCATTGTCCTTGGACTCCATATCCGCAGACTGAAAATCATTGGCAAAAAAGTGTCTGACTTTATATATGCAGACCTTTTTCTGGCGTTATCTCCTCAACCAGTGGTTCTCAACTCCTTTGGGGTTGAACAACCCTTGTACAGGGGTTGCCTAAGACCATGGGAAACCACAGATACTTAAATTATGATTAATAACAGCAGCAAATTGCAGTTATGAAGTAGCAATGAAATAATTTTATGGTTGGGGGTCACCACATGAGGAACTGTATTAAAGGGTCACAGCATTGGGAAGGCTGAGAACCACTTCTTTAAACAATGTAATATGACGGTCACATAAAATAGTGTTTTCGTTGTGTAAGTCATTTACAGATGATCAAGGAAGGATCTACAGATAATGGCATGATGGATATAGGTTCTGTGGAAATGCTATGCCATTTTAGGTAAGGGACATGGCCACCTACTGGGACAGGGCAGGAGGGCCTTGGAGCTAATCCCTCACCCATGCAGAGGGCCGTTTGCTGTTTCTGTATCAACAGAACAGAAATTGTGACAATTTCTTAGACTTTCCTTGTTCTTGGTGACCTTGTCAATTTTGAAGAACACCAGGTAAGAAGTTGAAATCTGTTTGTTCTCCTAATACTTTGCCCCTGATTAGACTGAAACCGTAGGGGGAAGGGCTTAAAGGTCAAGGGCCATTCTCATTGCAGCACATCCTGGGAGTGAACAGTCAGTATGACTCACCATGATTGATAGTAACCTTGAACAACCTGGCTAAGGTCCTGTTTGCCTTGCTTCTCTATGGCTGAGTTACTCCCTGTTTCCTTCCTTACCATACTTTTGAGAGTGGCTCTGCATACGTTACATTTAGGAGTGGATGGAGGGTCTATCAGTCAGGGCTCAGATATGATAAAATGAATGCATATGAATATATATATATATTATCATTTATATTTATATCTATCATTTATATATCATTTATATAGTTTATTAGAGTGGCTGTGGTACAGCTAGTTCAACAATGGAACATCCAAGAATCTAGTTGTTGTTCAGTCCATGAGGTCTTCAGTATATGCTAGAATCTCAAAGAAGTACGCTCTAATCCCAGCAGAGGACTAGACTTGCCAGTGAGTGAGAGCAAGCAGGCAAAGAGTGAGAGAGCTTCCTTCATCCAGATCCTTTATGTAGGCCGCCTGCAGAAGGTATGGCCCAGATAAAAGGTGTCTTCTCCCCTCTAAGATCTGGATTAAAGGTGTTCCCACTTCATATGATTCAGTTAAGAAGAACCCCTCACAGGTGTACCCAGCTGCTTGGGTGCTAGTTATTTCAGATGTAGTCAAGTTGACAACCAAGAATGTTACAGAGTGTGACCTTATGTCTCTGAGGGTGGTGTAGCTGCATGAATTATTGGAATCCTTCCACAAGGGTACTTTTATTTGTTTATTCATTTCTATTTAATGAAAACTAGATTTCATTGCCTTGGCCCCTGGGCACTCTCTCTTTTTTTTTTTTAATTTATTTATTAGTTCTAGTTAGGGAACAAGCTTGTTTCACATGTAAGTCTCTTCTCCCTCTCCCAAGTCCCTTCTTGCACCAGGGAAAAAATACTAATCCACTACCAGAGGCTCCCTGGAGTGCAGAGGCCTCCTTATTGACATCCATGTTCAGGGGTCTGGATCAGTCTTGTACTGGCCTCCCTGACAGCATCTGGGGTTGATGCCTGGGCACTCTCTTAATGGTTGTATGTGTCCTTTTGACATGCTGGGCTAGCCCAGGCATCTATCTACCTTAGCACTTCCTGGCTTTCTGAAGTGGCAACTGCTCCAAGGTCATCTTTTATCTTGCATGCTCAGTCCTAGAATTATTAATTTCTCCGAGATATCCTGCTTCCTTTGATTGAAGAGTGGGGTTAGAAGCCAGTTTGGACCCTGGATGTGTTCTGGCATTTTTTTTTTTTTGATACATATCTTACTATGTAGCCCATGCAGGCCCCCGACTCTCTTGTCCTGACCCCGAAGTTCTGGGATAACAGGTATATTGTATGTTTACCATGCACCCAGCTGTGTTTCATAACTTCGTGTTTAGTTCTTTGGAAACAGTGACTTTTTGTCCTTTTGATTTTCTGTAAGTCTGGAAGGTGGATAGCACATAAGGTAAAGACTCTTGCTCAGGTCGTAGCTTATCTGGTAGAGTGCAGTCTAGCACAGGAGAAGCTGTGGCTTTGCTCTTCACTATACAAACTAGGGAGGTGGCACACAATCCTGGAATCCCAGCACTCCAGATGTGGGAGCAGAAGAATCAGAAGTTCAAATCTCTCAGCTCTCTGGCCAGCCTGGGCTGTCACAGGAGACCTTGTCTGGGGCAAGAAAAGCAAAAGTTAGATCTTGGGGGTTTTCTTAGAGAAGCTCACACACATGCTCTCTGGTGTCTTTCTTTCTTAGGTTCTCACTCTTTAACATTTTAACCTTTAAAAAAATTTATTTATTTATTTATTTATTTAAAATTTATTTAAATTTTATTTTATATGCATTGGTGTGAGGCTGTCAGATTCCCTGGAACTGGAGTTAGAGATTGTTGTGAGCTGACATGTAGGTGCTTGGGATTGAACCCAGGTCTTCTAGAAGAGCAGCCAGTGCTCTTAACTGCTGAACCATTTCTCTAGCCCTGCCTTTCTTTCTCTTAATTCACTTGTTTGGAATTTATATTAAAAAATACCTTTTGATAAAAAATCCTGACTCCTCTTTATAAAAATGAAACAAACCCTGAAACAAAGAGTAAGGGCTCTCGAGTCAGACCCCTTGGCTTTGTCTCCTAGTCACAGCACAAGCACCCTGCCTGGGATCAATCCCTTGATGCCTTTCTTTCCTCAAGTATAAAAGAGAAATGGATAGCATCTATTACAAAGTCTTAATAGGGTATTGCAAAGATTAACAGCGGTGAGAACTGGAGAGTGTCTAATGGTGTCTGGCACCTGTTCCATGCTTGGATGTGGTGATAGTGGTGACATTATCTGGGGGCAGAAGGTGGATAGGGAAAATGGCAATTGTCCCTCAGTATTCATGAGTGAGGGCTTCTGAGGTCCCCAGGAGGTACCAACATGGATGCTCATGTCTCTTGTGTAAATAAAAGTGGCAGTGTTGCAGAGGTGACACACATCTTCCCTTTAAATCCTTCTAGATTCCATGTACCATACAATCCAACATAAAGGCTATGTAAATTTTTCAGATATTTATTAAATGTTTTAAGAGTGAGAGGTTGCATAATTTTTATAGTTGCTTTATATAAGAAAGACATGAAAAGTGACTGGATCAATAAATGACTTGAATATTTTTGTTTGTTTGTTTTGTTTTTCTTCCCAGTGGACTCATTGGTCGGAGCTGGGCAATGCTGTTTGCCAGTGGAGGCTTCAAGGTGAAACTTTATGACATTGAGCAACAGCAGATAACAAACGCCCTGGAAAACATCAGGTAGGTCCAGCTCAACTCACACATCTGGAGGTCATCAGATGCCTCTGTTCCTCTTAGCCTGTCTCACTCATCAGATTCTTCAGGCTGTGACTATCTGTAGTTGCCTGTTTTCAGGGCACAGCTCTTGCAGTAACTCTAAGACAATAAAGGCCAGGTTTAAGGTCCACTTGAATAGAACATGCATCTAGACCGGTGAAGGGCTCCTATTGTGAAGAGAGCCTTCACACTGGCAAGCGAGGGAGGGACGGAAGAGCCATGTGTGAATCTTAGCCTTCGATCCCATGAGTCTCTCAGCAGTTATTTATGTATCCATTAGGGTGACAGTGACGCTGGCAGCCCTGCTTTAAGCTTTTGGAGATGTGTTAGACTCACAGAAAATTGAGAGGAAGGTATAGTGATTTCTCACTGTTTCCCACCTTCAACATTCCTCTCCCCCAGTGGAGGCCTTGATACAGCTTTGTCACCTAGAGTCCTTGGTTGATATTAGGGTTCCCTCCTGCTATTGTGTATTCTGTAGGTTGCCCTATGTGTGTCCACTGTTACAGGAACAGCATCTACGGCCTGAAAGATGCTCTACGTGCCTGCCTGTTCATGCATCCTTCCCCCAGGCCCTGGTAACCACTGATATTTTTACTATCTCCATAATTTGTCTTTTTTTTGAGAATGTTGCATTGTTGGAATCAAGTAGTTTATAGCTCTTTCCAATTGGAATCTTTCATTTAACAATATGCTTTTAAGTTTCCTTCATGTATTAATGAACTATCACATTTTAACACTGAATAATAATAGTCTATTGCCTGGACTATTCATTCACTTTCTGAAGAGTCCATTTGTTGTGATGGGGGAGGTCCTTCTATGTATATGTTTGTCTTATTGGTTAATAAAGTACTGTTGGCCAATAGGGAAGCAAATTAGGCAGGACTAGGAGTTGAGGAGGATTCTGGGAAATGTGGTAAAGAGAAGTCTTGTGTTCTAGGCAGGAAGTGACATAGCAGGCAGACTCAGAATATAAGCAGGGACAAGCAGGAAATTGCTCTCTTCCTCTTCCTCTCTTCTCTGTAGTCGCCATGTGATCGCCCACAGGAGAGGGTGCATATGGCCGGCATCCTCAATAAGATAAGTTCTTATAAAATATACAGATTAGTAGTTATGGTTGATAATTAAGACTGAGCCATCAGATAAGAAATTCCAGTCATTGTCCAGCAGCATTGTACCTAATATTAATCTCTGTGTGTTATTTTGGGCACCCACATGGTGGCGGGGCTCAGGCGGTTTGGCAGAAAGAGTTTTCCTTACAAATGGTGTCACATGGTTGCTTCTAGGTTTTTGAAATTATGAATAAAGATGCTATAAATATTCATGTGCAGATTAGTGTGGACATGTTTCACTTCCTTTGAATAAATACTGAAGATCAAGACTTCTTGGATTAAATGGCAAAAATATTCGATTTTATAAAGAGCCATCTCACTAACTTCCAAAGTGGCTGTACTGTTGTTCACTCTTTCCAGCAATAAGTCAGAGTTCCTGGTCCTCTGTATCCCTGAAAGCATTAGATGCAGCCAGCGTTCTGGGTGTTAGTGAGCCATAGTGTATGTCTAATGGTCCCATCTGGTTTTTGATCTGCTGATGGCATATGACATGTGTCAACTTTCCACACAGTTTTCTTTTTCTTTTTTGCCATCTGTATATTTCAGTCCTTTCTTCGGTGCTGAGGATTGAACCCAGGGCCTTGTATGTGTAAGCGTGCGCTCTACCACTAGGTGGATCCACTTTCTTTCCTTCTTTCCATTAAAAACATGTTTCTGGCTAATGTGTGATCCTTAAAGATTTTCATTTGCTGTGACTTCCTGGTGCATAGTAATTATTCTTACTCAGAATTCTATGTAAAGATTTTGTAAAGTGACTCTTCAGAAATTCTGGTCCACTATATTTCTGGGAGTAGAAGTCTTCAGAGAATATTCAGATACATTAGTAAAAGTCTATTGACTGGACCCCTCACCAGAGTCTACAGATGCCCGAGTTGCTTGTAGGAATGTGGCATAGCATCTATATTGAACCTACCCATTCCCTGTATCCCTGTATCCTTCCCACCATTTCCAGGTGGCTCATTATTCCCAATGCAATGCAAATGCTGTGGAAGTAGCATTTGAGCTGCATTGTTTAGGGACAATGACAAGAGAACAGTCTGTGCATGCTCCACACAGATGAGAAACATTTTCCTGATTATTATTTTCTGCCTGCAGTTGGCTGAACCTGAGGATGCAGATCCCAAAGACGGGACAAGTAACAATACTTTGTCAAAGTCATCTTCTCATCCCACATGAGTACTTTATGTTAGAGCCTTGCGGACCTTGGCTTTGGAAACAGTAGTTGGACAAAGTGTCCATTACCAGAGGTTTTAGGGTCAAATCCTGGGCAGTCGCCCAACAAGTTAGGCTCAATAATGCATCCTGGCATGCCAATTAAGGCACAAGCTACAGTGAAAAGCAGAGGTAGGAGATTTAGTCAGTGTGGCCATATGAGGAAGAGGAACAAATAAAAAGAGTCTGGTGACCCCCAAGTCTTTGGGGATCCTAACACAAGGCTTAGGTTTAAACAGAGGGCAAGTGTTACGCATAACTGAGCAGTTCTGGTCAAGGTGTGGTCCTGTTCGTCACTGAGCCTTTATTGTCTGTCTTCTGGTCCCTCAAGGTGGCCTGATGAGCTGCAGTAACTTCCAGGGAACCAAGTTCCTCCCCCGAGCTGGGGCCAGGGCTTCAGCCTTTTCCTTCCCTCAGCATGAGATTCTCAGGGAAATTTCAATTTTTTGGAGATCTGTTATCTCAAAGTGTGATGGCTGAGCAGAGAAGCACACATGTCAGTCCTATAATATCTCCTCCCCTGACGGGGTGGTTACATGCCTTGGCATTGTATCCTTAGCTTGTAGGAATGTAGCTTTTCAGCAGGCCTAGACTTATTACTGGTTTTCTGGTGATTGTGTTTGTGGTTGGTGGCCCCAGAACTGAGTGATATTAGCTTCAGAACTGTCCTAGTGTTGTTGTTGGCTGCAAGTGACCAAAACTGCCAGCAGCTAATAAAGGACAGGGAGTCTCCCGTGAAGATGATGGATCAGAGTCTTTTGTGGCCCCTGGCATTTACCTGCCAGTTTTGTGGTGAGTGCCCACTGCTCTAGGCGATGGGCACCATTAGGTTCCAGCTGTGCATTTTGTTTTTAGTGATTCACATTTATCACACGAGCTTTGTGCCAGCCACTGTGGATGATAGGTCTTGCCTCAGAGCCTAGGATATTATAGGTTCTAGGTGTTAGTAGGTTTTAGTAGGACCTAGGATGCATCATGTAGCCCAGGCTTGCCTCAAACTTGGGACAGTTCTCTTCCTAAGATCCCCCCACCCCCATTGCAGATGTAAGATGCCCAGCTTCTGAGACCCTCAAAGGAGACCTCTCCAGGTGGTACTTGCTCTTTTTGTTCTGGTAATATTTTCATAGATCTACCTTTCTCGTTCATGTGTCCCACCCCCATGATTTGGCTTACTCCCCACATTCTGATTCTTTTTTGAGTTAGGATCTCATGTAGCCCAGGCTGGTCTTGAATTCTGTATGTAGCCATGGATGGCCTTGAACTTCTGATTTTCCTAGCCGTACTTCCCAAATGCTGGGATCACAAGAGTGTGCCACTGGGCCTGGCTTTATTCTGATTGTTCTGAACATTTTACACCAGGAAATATCTGCTGAGCTGGCTCGGTGGTGAAGAGCACTTGATGCTCTTGAGGAACACCTGTGTTGAGTGTCCATCTCAGGAAGCTGACAACTGCGAGTAACTCTAGCTCAGGGCATGCAAACCCTCTTCTGGCCTCTTCAGTCACACACACACACACACACACACACACACACACACACACACTCTCACTCTTTATTTTAGACCATCTTAGAAATCTCTTGTATGTTAGATTGACCCTAAGCCAGTACCCCTGAGCTACAGGCCCCCTCTATTTTCAGCGATGGCATCTGGTTTTGTTTATCTGTCTATGGCCTTAAACTTGCCCAGGCTATCCTGGAGTTTACAACCTTCCTGCCTCTTCCCTCTGACTTTCTTGGTAACTAATCTTAAATAATAGAAATACTGCATATTCATCTGAAAAGTGTAAAAGCAAATGTTTTATAGGAGAAGTTGACTTTTTTTTTTTTTTTACAAAAAATATTAAGACATAGCTAGGCATAGTGAGTGGCTCACATCTGTAATCCCAGAATTTGGAAGCTGAGGCAGGAGGATTATGGTAAATCCCAGGTTAGGCTGGGCCACAGAAATGAGACCCTGGGTCAAAAAAAAAAAAAAAAACAAGACATTAAAGAAGTTATTACCATGTGACAGGAGATATTTGTGCATGGAAAAACAAATGTCATCCAAGACTAATCTTTTCCTAGCAGGGGGGCACAGTGAGAAACTTGTTACCATCTTAGGTGGAGGGCAGAATCTAAAGGGGAGAGCCCTTGCCCATGCCTCCCTGTTTGCCTTTGTTCTGCTCTGAGCCTGGTTGGTGTTAGGTCTCAAGCCCTACAGAGCGAAGGGCTTTAAGAACACCTTAAGAAGATAAACTGAAACCCCCATTTCAGAGTGCTCCCATTGCCTGTAGATCTGAATGCTTTGCTTCTTAGGATTTGCAGCTTGTTGCATTTCTCCAAATCCTCAGCCATTGGGTCATCATTTGACTGCCTACCCCAGCTCAGGTATGAACATGCAGTCTTGTATGGCTCAAGTCCTAGTCTGTGATCACTGTCTTTGGGTGACATCTCTCTATGTCATCTACCTTTTTCTACTCTCTGTGGTCCTTGAGACTCATTTCCCTCTGCAAATGTCTCAGCTTTTTTTTTTTTTTTTTTTTTTTTTTTTTTTTTTTTTTTTAATACAGAGCAGGAGTTAATAAACCACTGGAAGTGATTTCTGAAACAAGGCAGCTGCCCTGCCCTCTGGCTTCTAGACAGCTGATGTTTCTGAACGCAT